AAAAAAAAATATTTTGCGAATTGATGTTTATATAGGAATATATATATATATATATATATATATATATATATATATATATAATGTTGTACCACAATTAGGACGTAGTCTAATTAATCAAAGAGACAACTCATTTAATTAATTTTTTTATTTAACATTTTATTTTGAATTTATGTTTATTCTATTTAGTATTTAATTTACTTTGTATGTGGTTATGCAGCTTTTTTTTCCCCCAAGTGTTTTATGAACATCTATATATGATATTTTTTATGTTGTAACTAAGAGATAATGAACAGTCAAGCAGTCATTATCTCAAAATAAACCCCGACAGAGTGAGCAGGACACCGGCACGAGGAAAGGAGAGCAGTAGTGTATGAGCCACTGTTAGAAACCCAAAACTGTAACCTTTGTTACCAGATGATACTCGATATCTACAGACCAGCTCAAATATTTATACTCCACCACATTCATAACAGGCCTGTCAATTCATCAAAAAATGGACAGCGTGTGACAATAGTTGTGACTCTCCAAAGAGGCTGAACCATACTGTATATAAACTCAAGTACACTATACAGCCAAAAATGCTGTTTAAACTAAAGAACCATCATCTTATGTCAAAGATTATCAAAGAACAGTTTGGCAAGAACTGCATCGTATAAACTCAAGCATTTCCTTCAATGCTGCAGAACTTGGAGCCAAATGACGAAACTCTCAGTGGTCTGTGCTGTCAGTCAGACTCAGACAGATCCGAGCGATGACCCTCACCACGTGGTGCATTTGAGCAAAGATTTCCTCCGGGAAGGAAGACTGTAGACAACACCCTGTATCGCATTACAAGAAAAAAGAAGGATGCTCGACTCTCACATACATGTGTTTGAGAGCAGAGGGCAAATCGCAGACATGTTCAAATATATTCAAATGTACATCCACAAACACACATTCTCAGAGTGACTGGGTGTCCGTACTGAATCTATCATGTCAGCTATTTAAAGGGGTCATATGATGCGATTTCAAGTATTCCTTTCTCTTTGGAGTGCTACAAGCTGATTGTGCATAGATAAGATCCCTAAAGTTGCAAAGACTAAAGTCTCAAAACCAAAGAGATATTCTTTATCAAAGTTAAGACTCTGCAACGCCCCCCTAAAACGGCTCGTTCTAACACGCCCCCACATATCTACCTCACTATGTGGAAATATCTGCATAATGCACCCAAATGTTCACGCAAAGAAAGAAGGCGTGGTTTCAGTAACCGCAGTTAGTGTTGAAGCAGCCATGTCAGGGAGACGCTGTGTGTTTCTAGGCGAAAGCACATCACAGTGGAGTCAGCTGTCTTAACCGTGGCTTGTGTACTGCAAACACATACCAGCTTAATCACTGTGTCTGCCACGCGACTCTGTTCCCCTTTCGGGCTCTGTCTTTACATTTATTTTGAAAGCTAAAGCTGGCGATTATGGTAAGGGGCGTTAAATTTCCGACGAGTGCTTGCGGTGTTCGGCCAATCACAATGTACTGGGTCAGCTGGCCAATCAGAGCAGACTGCGCTTGTCGGAAGGAGGGACTTTGTAGAAAACGAAGCGTTTGAGAGAGGCGGGGCATAGAGGACCTACAATAATGTACAGTATTTGAAAAATAATGTGTTTTTTGAACATTAAAGCATGTCAACATATTCTGTTACACCAAATACACAAAATAATGATCTTTAAAAAAGCATCATATGACCCCTTTAAATAAATATTGTATGTGCATTTATATCAATAATTATTTTAATATGTACTTTTAAATGCAATTTATTTTAATTTATTCTTAAATAAAGGTTTACCATACATGCACTAAAAGTTGCTGTGGCTAAAAGTGTCTTCCAAACAAATAAATGTACATTTTATTAGTACTTATATCTACACCAAGAACATGTTGGTTATTAGGCTGCTTTTGTAAAAGTGTGAAATGCATTTATTGTAAGACGTTGATTTTAATGCACTAAAACCAGAACCAAAAACACACATCATCAACCATCTTCATTTTGGGATGCTTTTAAAACACTATACATGGAGAAACGTTTGCTGGACATGCACATAAAAATACACAAGCACAATTTACTGTTTTAAAGCTAAGCGTTTAAACATTTAATCCTTTAGATCAAAAGGCTTATAGATGAGAAACATATGGGAAAAATAAGATCAGTATACTTATTTGTAGTAATGTTGTGTTGTGTCAAGAGCATGGTATTTATATTTAAAGCACAAACTACAAACTTTAAAGGAAAAATTAATTAATTCTACCAATACACGCAACCAGAGTGATATAGTTTTAGTGGCTATCAATAAACTTTATTTTGTGACCAGCCATCGGAATATATCATAAAGGCAGATTATAAGGTTTGCAAAAGGCTCCATGAGATGGTCAAACCTGCCGCTTATGCTCCTCCCCTGAGTTCAGACTGAAGCAGTGTTAGTTCACATGGAGGAGGAGAAACACAGACGCACATCTAGTGAATGAGTGCCACACACACACACACACACACACAGTCAGCCTCTCACAGGAGAGCTTCACCAGCGGACTGTGTTTGGAGTAGAACGGGACTTTCACTTCTTCAGTTTGCTGAACAGGATCTTTGGAGGGCAGGATGGAAAACACGTGTGAGGTGAATGACTTGACCCCTCTCACAGATTACCTTCATGCATGCAGCAAACTCACCATGCATCATTAATTCACACTCACATTTAGCATTTAAATGAGTAACAATGAATTACTATATCTGTAAATGCGCTACTCATGTTTCTGCAGCCTTCTTGCATGCATTTTCGGACATACACCATAAAAACATTGTAAATAAAGCAAAGATTATTGGAGTGTTTTACAAGAAAATACTATTTCATATTTTAGTAAAAAATTGCATGCTTAATTCAGTGTCACTTAACGTATCTTTATAATTATTTGTGAAATCTACTAGCAATTCGATTGAAAATTGTATGCAAACCATTTATTTTTTTCATTGTACAATTGGTGAACGAGTGAACTGTCTCAAAAAGACAGCAACAACTGTTTTAATTTAAATGCAATGACTATATAATGATAAAAACTGTATTTTAAGTGACCAAAATATAACATATAAAGTCACTTCTATTGCATTAAAAAACAAAGCAATATATATATATATAT